TTCTGTCTACTGAACTCGGAAGCAGCACAACAGTCGAAGCAATCCTACAAATGGCCGTGAAAGCAGTAAACGACACGGCTGGACCTGATGGGTTAGTCCCTACCCTTCTCGTGTTCGGGGCATACCCCCGCATGACATTGGACTCTCCGCCCTCGCCATCGACTCTAAAGCGTTCTGACGCAATCCAAAAGGCGATGAAGGTCCTTCGCAAGGTCGCAGCTGAGCGACAGGTGAACGATGCACTCAACACGCGCAACGGCCCGTCTACCACCGACGTCCTCGCGCTCCCGCTGCAGAGCGAGGTTCGGGTCTGGCGTGAGAAGGATGGCTGGCAGGGACCCTACAAGATTGCTGCTACCGATGGCCACAACGTGACGCTGGATATGGTAAATGGACCTGCAACCTTCAGATCTACTCTACTCCAACCGTACTACCGAGGCGCCGCTACCGACCCTATTCCGAGCTCCTCGAACCGTGACCAAGATGGTGAGACCGAGCAGCCCCAAGGACAGCATGATCCACAGCCTGAACCACCCCGACCACGCAAACGAGGTCGCCCTCCCGGCTCCAAGAACAAACCGAAGAGGACCAATGATGCCTTCCTAAGCACAAAAGAGAAAAACGACCGCGATCTCGCTGTCAAGCTGCGGAACGATGGTGTCATCACAACTCCCGGTGCTCCATTCGAAGAGTCGGACACAAAGGAGATAGATGACCTTATTGGCCGCGGTGTGTTCAGCTTTGAGCTGTATGACCCAGTTCATCACGGCAAGCACCGCATATTTAAGTCACGAATGGTGCGCGAAATCAAAGGCAAGACCGAAAAGCCCTATGAGAAATCCAGATTGGTCATCCAAGGCTACAAGGACAAGGCAAAGGAGACAATTCTGACACAATCGCCAACGATCCAGCGCGCAAGCCAACGCCTCCTTCTGGCCCTCGCACCGTCGCTGATGAAAATGGGCATGACACTGACTCTCCGCGATATCACGCAAGCGTACCCTCAGGCCCAGACCGACCTGTTCCGCGTTGTATTGGCCGACCTGCCTGCTGAGTTGAAACAGAAGTACCCTGAGAACACGATCATCCGCGTCATTAAGCCACTTTACGGCATCGCTGAAGCTGGCGTCCATTGGTTTGCGACGTATCAAGGCCACCACACGTCCGAACTGGACATGTCAACGTCAACATTTGACCCATGTCTGATGATCACCAACCACGGCCCAACGACATTTGGAATGATCGGAATGCAAACTGACGACACTCTGATCTTGGCCACACCCGCCTTCTCGACAACTGAAGAAGAAAAGATCCAGAAGGCGCAGTTTCGATCCAAGCCCAAGACGCTCCTGTCTCCAGAAACACCACTGGACTTCAACGGAGCGAAACTGACGCTGGAAGATGAGATCGTAGTACTCAAGCAGAAAGGCCAAGGGACCAAGATTGATCTTATAGACACAAGGGCAACTGACCGTGCCCAGAGGTACGTGGAACAGCGCGCTCGCGGCGCGTACATCGCGTCAATCTGCCAACCAGACGCGTCATTTGATTTGTCCGTGGCTGCACAGGCTCAAAACCCGGATGAAGCAGAATGTGAAAAGCTCAACAACCGCCTCAAGTGGCAGATGGGTAACATCCAACGTGGACTGAGGTACGTGCCTATCGACCTCACCACCGCCAAGCTCATGGTATTTACCGATGGGTCGTTCGCCAACAACAAGGACCTGAGCTCCCAGATTGGCTTCATTCTTACGCTTGTCACCGAGACGGCCCGCACGGATAACCAGTTCGACATCCGTGGCAACCTCATCCACTGGAGCTCGACCAAGTGCAAGCGCGTCACTCGAAGCGTCCTAGCCTCCGAGATCTATGGCATGGTGAACGGCTTTGACGTCGGACTGTCCATCGCGACGACGGTTCGCATGATCACAGACCGACTGGGACTACCAGCTATCCCCCTGGTTGTCTGCACGGATTCGTTCTCCCTGTACGAATGCCTTGTGAAGCTGGGAACTACGAAGGAGAAGCGCCTGATGATTGATATCATGGCGTTGAGGCAGTCATATGAGAGACGAGAGATTGCAGAGATCAGGTGGATCAACGGCAAGGACAATCCCTCTGATGCGATGACAAAGGCATCCCCCAACCGCGCACTTGAGCGCTTCGTCAATGACAACGAGTTGACGATCAGGATGGAAGGATTCGTCCAGAGAACGATGGAGTGATTGTCGATGGACTTGACGTTGAAAGGTTTTGACGGCAGTATTTAAAAGACTGCCAGTGTTGGATCATAGGTGTCAATGCCCTCTGGTGTGAGTCCGTACTGGGTGGAGCTAGCCCATATGGGACTAGCTCCCACACACCACGATATGTGTTCTCCCCGCAGAGAACACCAAGTAGAAGTAGAACCACAAGAATGAATGCAATACGTTTCCTGTTATCTCTTTAAGCACTAGTGCACCAGACCCTCCCAACATTATTATTATTATTATTATTATTATTATTATTATTATTATTATTATTATTATTATTATTATAATTATTATTATTATTATTATTATTATTTTTGAATTTGATTTCATTGTCCTGATTTGGCGCCTTAAGGCCCATGCAGGTGACTATAAACCTAAAACTATATATTTACATGAGGGGGAAACCATTACGATAAAAACCCCCTCCCCTTATAAATTTTTTGTCTGTAGTCCTTCGTTACCTACAGGAAGTGCAATTGGCCCTTAGCCCGACACAGGACTAGCTAAAGTTGTATTCAACCTCGCCATTCTTTCCCTGCCCTCGCGTGCTGAAAAGTGATGACTGTGGCCTTGAGTTTGACCCCGTCGGTGCAAATAGTGAAGGTGGTGGATTAACCAGGGGCTGTTTGCGCGGGCGTCCTGGCCCCCTCTTGAACACCTCTGGCTTTTGGTGGGACACCAGTGTGAATCCTTGGTCGTCCATTTCTTTTGCCGCTGTTGTTAGTTGTGATGCCGCTGGTGACGTTTCCTCTCTTCTTAGATTTGCCGTTCTTTCCATGAGTTCATACCTGGCCCTTTGAGCGCTGGCCTTGTATGACGCGAAGTTTTGACACGCCCCCTTCTGCCACGATTTATGGGCTTTGCCGCAGTTGCAGCAAAGCACCGACTTCCTCGGGCAGTCTCTGGTCTGATGAGTGCCCGCACACTCACCACATCTTTTCGATTTGGTACACGAGGCTTGGGTATGCCCCCATTCACTGCAGTTGAAGCACTGCTTGACTTGCGCTCGGGGTGACCAGAGCTGGGCCGTATACAGCATTGAGTTGAAGACAATGCCGTTTCTTGTCACTTCGCGTTGAAGTGCCTCTGTCTGAAGGCTCGCGATCACTGATCCTCGAGTACGACTGTTTCTTGTCATACATTGTTGCTCTTTACCGTCGTAAAGCCACCTCACCCTGTTGATTTTTATATCTGGAATCCGAACTTTTGTTTCCTCCGTGATTTGATTTATCGATGTGCCGTTGTTGGCATCTTTTCCTCCTCGTATTGTTGTCCCCAATGGGATTCCTAAAATCTCAACAGGATAATCCTGCTTTATAACGCTGAACTCCTTTTGTTGTGCCATTCTCAAGGCAGCGTCTCGCTGGGAGATCGATTGCACAAACACCTCAGTGTCATTACTCCTCAGCTGCCTTACGGCATATGCCCCCTCGATATGTTTTTTCGCCTTGTTAAGCAGCTCAGTTGGCTGCATCTTTTCTGATCCTTCCATTCGTATTCTTTCAGCTGCTTTTGTTGCTGGAGGTGCAACGACTGAGGCGTACGTTGGTCGGCCTCCCATTCCATGTGTCGACTGAGGAGTCGTCTTGCGCACTGGCTCCTCGAGACTCTTCGTTACTGCCTTTTCTAAGGCTAGCATTCGTTCTTCCATTGGGTTAGCCGTCAGCTTCGATCGTAACATCTTGTCGTGGGCTATGAAGGCGTTAAGTGCCTCATCTATCTCGACCATCGGTGTCGTAGATCCGTCAGTTCCTGCAATCACCAGTCTGTCTCTAACATTATTTTAATAGTAAGCAATTTTTTTAAGTTTATCCAGTTTCATGCCTGTAGAAGTAGCGAGAGATTCTACAAGCATTATTGCGGCTGTTCCGCTATCCGTTCGTGGTGGTGGTGGTGCCGTGAAAATTTTTCCAGCCGTGAAATCCACCTTTCCAGTCCCCCAAATCGCCATGCCGAAGCGCAACGAAAAAAAAAATTCGAGGAATCGGATAAGATGGGCCGATTCGACCCGGATTCGCTATGACGAGCCCACTCGGAATATCAAGGATATGGAGTAGTAGAATAGATAGTGAGGTTGGCGCATTGGGAGTTGGGACACCTTAAGTAGCCTCCCCTCGGTGGACAGTTTCGAGATTTACATAGAAAATAGACAGTAATCGGTCACCATTCCTTTACTATATTGTTTTGTTGATCGCCCATCACAGGGAGCTTCTTATTCGAGGCTATGGCGGCAAATTGCAGTACAGCCTTAGCAGTGGGTACTGCTTTTTGTCGAAGTCTGTTTCGCTCCACTTTAGCCCAGGTGCCTTTTGAAGGCTGTGCTGGGACGGCGGGCTTAATCGGGCTCCTGGCGTCGGGAGCCCTCGGAAATGGGTTCGCCGGGCGAGGAGGGAGGACGGGTGGCGTAGAGGCCGGGTCCGAAGCCATATATTGCGTAATAGCAGCGCGTAGGTTGACTCTCACGGAGTCTAGGAATTTTCCGTTTGACTCGTTGGTCAAAGGAAGTAGTATTATCTCGTCGCGAGAGATGGTGGCGCGGTAGTGTGCCCAGATTGCCACTTGCTCCTATGTGTGTAGGTGTTAAGTATCTGCAAAAATATTACTAAGTTCCACATCCCTGTCGATGATTGACATCTTGTCTGTGAAGTGTACCCCACCATTATGAAGAATTGTCTGCCTGCAAACCAAAATCAAATAGAATTATTATCTGCAACCAGAAATTCACAAGAGCGATCATAAAATTGTGAAATGCCCACCACTACACCTAGCTCTACAGGCACATTCGATAGAAATGAGAATTTGAAAATGTGCAAATCAAGTAATTTCAAACGCTTGTGGCTCGATAATCGAGGTGCTGTACTTGTACTCTGTGCCGAGGCGTGTGGCTCTTGTATGGACGCCATAGCAAGATACCTGCAGCTGGGCGAAAATGCCATGCACCCGTTTCAAGTGAGTGCAAGCAGAATTTTCTCGGGTGACTGAATCCTTCTGAGCTCTCCTTTTAGCTGATCCTGATGCTGACCTATGCAGGTAATTTTTGCTCGAATGAGCATGACATTGGTCTTGAGCACTACATACATGCTCTGGACAAAGGGTCCAAAGTTCATAATGGGCCACGCCAACATTCGGTCATGGTTGATATGCAGAGCTCTCTTCGGATTTTTCGGTCTGTTTTGTCTATACTGTAGGTACTGGACCCTACCGTACCTGGAAAAATGATGCCGACTCATTTTGATCTCTCATTCTAGACTCAGTACATTATTTACCACTCGCAGAAGCAACTATTTTCCGCTTTCTCGTTCCCTTGGTCACTACCATCTCCTGTGCCCTTCTCCTCCATCAGTCTTTTACTGTTGGCGAATTCGTCGCATCAGTTTTAGCCTTGATAGGCATTGTCATCATCGCGCATCCTACCAATATAAATACGCACTTCCACAACAAAAGCTTGGAACACTACAGCAATGACCTTGAAAAAGTGAGTCCTACCCAGCGTACAATTGCTATCTTAGTAGCTTCACTGGGCGTTCTAGCTGCTTCGGGAGCTTACACATGTATCCGCATGATTGGAGAACGTGCCCACGCCCTTCTTTCCGTTATATACTTTTCGGTCGCTGGAACAATCGGCCCGGCACTAATTCTTCTGCTTATTCCTGGCATAACCTTCACCATCCCGTGCGGTTGGCAATGGGCTTTCTTGGTCTTATTAGGTCTTTTGGGCTTCGCCCTACAATTTCTTCTCACGAAAGGTCTACAGTTAGATAAGAACGGCAAAGCTACGAGCATGCTTTATTCTCAGATCTTATTCGCCTTACTCTTAGATTGGCTGTTATGGGGCAATTTGCCCAATCCATGGAGTCTCATTGGAGGGGCCTTGGTGATCACGAGTACAGTTGGTTCGGCCGTAGCAAAGTCATCAAGCCAAAGAAACAAGGTTTTCGGTAAGAATGATGAGGAAAGACCGTTGCTGGTTAATCGCACAGAGGCGGAAGATACAGGCCCAGACCAGGTAATTGATCATGAACCTCAGTAGTAAGCGATCCTTGAAAGGTCTTGGAATTTCTACACAAGTGAGGTTCAAAAAATTCATAAGTGCAAATGAATTAACAAGGACAATCAATAAAAATGAAACGAGTTTGAGACACACGAGGAATCAGGATTCAGTGGCACAAGTCCATGAGGTATTCAGGCATTCTGGATCGTCAGCGCGTATATAAAAAGGGGGAGCGCTCTTTTTAGTAGCATGTAGGTAGTGAACCTCAGCGATCTAACCTAACAACACAAGATTGATCCCACAACGTTGACAATTTAGAACTATATGTGCATGGATCAAGATACTGCTTAACCTATCTAAGCCTCGGTGAGGAATAAACCAAAGAAGTTTTTTATCAATGTATACCAGCTGGAGGTCTTCAACCGCAAAAGCAAGGTGGCCTACTGTGCTCCAGTATTGTCCCAGAGGTTGATTGGAGAGAATCATGGCTACAAGAATGTCACTGTTTTTGTGGTCTCATATGTCATTGCCAACAGATATACGGAGCTCGACCTAAACGTTCAGCAACATATTTAGTCTTATATATGGTGCATAACATTGAAGAAGCCCAGACGCAGGGCTGGGTATCCACCTCTATCAGATTTGATGTGCGGTCACCCATCATACCAGAGATTACCCGAAGAAGTTGGTGCCATGCTACAAATTTTCCAAAGCCTATGTCTTGGCGGAAGGGGTCGTATCAGGACATCGCGTAATATAAGGTCAGTGTCTAGAGGGAACCGCATAATTCAGGAGGTCTGGGGACTTGGATGCGGCAATAAAATTATTAACAACGGCCAAACGATCAGACGACCAAAGGCTCACACTATTATCGCATCAAAATACCGAGGCAGTCAGGAGAGGGCAAGAACGCCCGCGCAAGCCCCTCTTGTTTTCAGCCACGTAAAGTATTCCAGTAACATCGATGTGGAGCACAAAACTACAATTATTGATTTTCGGCACGCAAGAGAGTTACAAAAATAACGAGGTATATTTTGGCTAGTCTTTTCTCGGACTGATGGCCTCATATACTATCTGTAGATGCACAGGATCACATTTTAAAATTTAAAGTGAGTCTGGGTTTTTATTGTAAGGTTTCGCCCTCAAAATTATGTAGATTGGTTTACAGCCACCTGTATAAACCCAAAGGGCACAAAATTGGGCTAAATCTACCAACTGGAGGGACAGACTTACCGCCTAGAGAATATCTTTGAATCAAAAAGCTTAAATAGCGACCATCCCCCGGTCATCAGAAATTATCCGACTCAGACACAGGGATTTCTGAGTAAAAGAGCCGAGTGAGTTTAATTTGGATAAATGTAGTCTCGAACGCATTAAAAAGGCCAAATCAGTTAATACTGCCATTTCCACAACTGGCCTGAATTTTTATTCGATCCTACTAATGATGAGGATTTAATAAATTCCCTACATTGTAACAATCATGTACCTCGTTGGCCTCGAAAATTGGGTCCCATGAGCCGTGTCTGGGAGTACCTATTTAATTATGTCAGACTCATCCTCTTAGCGCTCTCGGCCTCCTAGTTTCTAGTAAAGCTACCTTTTTTTTGAATTTATATTTTATTCAGAAAACTAGCTATAACAAAAGTAAAGCTATCGGTGAAGCGCCAATAAGGCCACTGTTAGTCTTAGGCTCCGCAACGGTCGACCCAAGGCAATTCAAGGCTGTGGCTGGAATATCTCAAGTCGGGCCGCTTACTAGAAGCGACAAATCCAAACACTAGACTCTCGGGATATTACTCTCAATTGCCTGGCAAATGTCGCTTGGGGTGTGAGACGTTAGGTCCTGTCTATAGCAACTATGAGAATTTTCATATAAATATTCACAAAATTCCAGAGCAACCACTTAAACGCCACTCTCATCATGGGTACGCTTTGTTTTCATTATTTATCGTCTGATTTAGGCCAAGCTGGTAGGGAGTAGGGAGATTAGACGAGATATATCCAATACATGACCTTTCAAGCTTCAGCAGTGCCTAATCAGTGCCCGGCTATTCCTAGTAACTGCGCTTGAACCTACTAGTTGTGTCGGGCTAGATAAGTAGGAGCGTATTCAATATGACCCTAAGCTCACGGGCTGAGAGAAAACTGACGGAAAACGCTGCGAGGAAAAGATTAGCAAGAAAAATCTGGCTAATCCTCCTGATTATATTATCGAGGAGCAGCTGTAGTTATATTTAAAATAAGCTTCGTAGGAGTTTAGCCCGGATGCCAAAGACTGAACACCTGTACGCGGTGTTCTCTACGAACCTTGGAGTGAAATATTCTTCCAGAGCCAAGTTCAGTCAAATCCCGCAAAATCGAACTAGCTAATCCACGAGGCAATGATTCTATACTCCCAATGAAGTCAATATCTCACTCCCAACAAGGTCAATTCTGGTCAAAGTTTCTTCAAGTCTGCAATTACGGCCTAGTGTATCGTTATTTCATGGATAAGCTTAGTGAAACCTAGGATAGTATCTCAAAGGGAATCCCACGCTGAAACACAACGTGCTGTTAGAATGATTTCCTAAACAATTAGGACAGGCTCAATTCATAGGAATTGCGTAGTAAAACTGTTGAAGACAGAGCCTGTGGACTGTTCTATTATTTGATGTACATGTATACCTAGCATGAAGGAGTATTTTTCTTCACGCAACGTCTTCTTTGTAAACTGGTACCTCACACTCATATACTTATCTCTTCACTGGTAAGGCTGTTGCTCTTATACAAAACTCTACTGTTACTTACTTTACCTTTGCATTTTCCGTGAATATTATAGCATACACTACATTTATACTTCTTCCCCATAGGAATTATTACTACACTCTACGCATCTAACAACTCGGAGGACGAAAACTGAACACCTGTCAGTGGTTTCCTCTACGAACCTGGGAGTTAAATATTCTCCCAGAGCCGAAATTCAGTCACGAAAAATGGCGGGATGATGCCAATCAAATAGACTCAGTCAGGATGTTTGAGAAAAGAAGTACTTGTGCATGTCCCTTAAGCTATGTCTCATCTCTATATATATACATCACATCCTCCAAACTCCGATCTTACCCTTTTTCCTTAGTCTAGACTATTGAAGCTTTGTCGTTTAGTGATAAAGATGAGATAGAGGTTTATGGGTCATAATGTATGAGATAACTGGGATATGGAGAAATCCCTTTTATATATTGAAAAAACAACCCTAACTAGTACAACAATAATAGTAAGGAACTCCGACATCCACATCCCAGTTATCTCATACATTGTGACCCATAAACCTCTATCTCATCTCTATCACTAAACGATAAAGCTTCAACAGGTTATAGCCTGGTTAGCACATAAACTACAGCCAAAATGTTACTCTCATCGACTTAGGCAAATATTGGTCAAACCCCAATCTCACTTAAACTCGACCGACTTCCAATACTGACCGGTGGTGAAAACTATCTCAGATGGGTTGGCAGTTGGGTGATAACTTTCGACGTAACGGGATTACTTGACTTCTTGACAAAGGAGACACCAATAAAACCTGAAATACAATCAGATGAGTTTCAAAAGTGGCATAATGCTAACAAACAGCTTCGGGGCCTCCTCCTGAACGCTGTTGATGAACCGTTTCAGACCGTTGTGATAGATTGCCAAACAGCAAAAGAGGCATGGGACCAATTCAAATCACGATTTGATAGAGAAACTGCGACGAAGACAACATATCGGAATACCTTTCAACCTCCAATGATTCCTGGAACCACCTCCGAAATCGCTCCCTACACTCGACTACCTCTCTCACCAAGGCATTCAAAGAGCTGACCTCGTCGGAGGACGCAAAAGGTGCCTTTCTGCTGTCCTCCTTGCCCAACTCCATGGAAAACGTCATCGATAATCTTGTGACAAAAGAATTCACCACTTACGACGGTGTATCCTCTAAACTCCTAGACATGTCGGCAAATCGAAAAGCCACCAACTTAAATGACAAGGTTCATCAAGTCGCGAGACAGGAGATTGAAGAATGTTCATGGTGTAAGAATCGCAAGTATAAAAACGAGGGGCATAATTTGAAAGAGTTTTGGAAGCTAAAAGCGCACAAACAGAAGAAGACAGGCAGGAAAAACGCTGCCCAAAGCGCGTAGTCGTCGGCCACCGCTGAATCAGAACATCAAATATTAGACACGGCATTTGCAGCACAGTTTCAGAAATCCTCGTCTCATCCAGAATAGATCTTCGATACTGGCGCATCGGCTCATATAATGGGTTGTAAACGTGGCTTTGGAACACTGATACCTCTAAAAAATCACAGTGTTAAAATCGCAGACTATTCCCATGTCCCTGTAACCGGAAAAGGAACTGTTCGCCTAAACCTTTGGAACCAACAAGGAGAGGTCTACTCTACCATCTTAACCGATGTCCTATTAGTACCTTCTTTTGGAAAGACACGACATTTTTCTTGGGACGCTGTGAGCCACAAAGGTTACACATTGATAGGCAAAGAAAAAGCTATAACACTACGGGACAAAAATGGGCGTGAAGTATTATGAGTAAAGGCAGGAGTTAAGCAGCACTTAACACAGCTAAAGGAATATTATGCTTGCTTTTCCTCTTACATTGAATTCCATCAGACGTTGGGACATCCCGGAGTAACCACCGTTAAAAACCCTTCAAAGCTGTATTCACAGGACAACCTTCCCTCACCACCCCCAAACTTCCATTGCCCTACATGCGAGAAAACCAAATCAAAAAAAATCTCTCCCAAACAGACTTGTGAAAATACTACGAGACCATTTAAATTAATTCATTCTGATCTCTCTGGAAAGTTTTCCGTTCCCTCATTAGGTGTAAAATTTTACTACATAACTTTTATTGATGAATATACCCGACATTCATGGGTCAAGTTCTTGCGAACCAAAGATAAAACAGCTCAACACATGGTTGACTTCGTACATTTTGTATAAACGCAATTCAGCGCTAAAGTTAAGCGTCGGGGAACAGACAACGGGGGGGAATTTATTAATCAAACA